GTCTAAACCAGGGTTGAGCAAACTGGGGCTTGCATGCCAAAGTTCAGGCCCACCAGAGTTATTCTAACCCCACCCACTCAATTAGGGTAACCATATTTTTGGTTTTCAAAAAGGAGAACGCTGGGGGCAGAAGGGCAGACTGCAGAACGCAAATGTCAACATGAAAGCAAAACCAAATCCTGGACATTTTGGGTACATTTTAGGACACGTCCTGGAAAAAGAGGACTCGTACAGCTACCCTAGCTTATCCTAATATACAGGGTGATTCAAAAAGATTTCGTCCGATTTCAAAGTGCCATATTTGTACAACCGTGAGGCGCCTAGGAACCAATCACAATCCAATTGAAAGAGGGGGTCATAGAGTTTCTGACTGTCAGTGGAAGATGGCTCCCTTCAGTCTGCGAGGAGATGGGACCCCTGAGCAGAAAGCGTTCTGCGGTCTCCACTTCAATAAGACTGAATCCATCATAACTGTGCAGAGTGATTTTCGTGGGCAGTGAAGCTCCAACAGCTCAGAGCGTTCGTCGTTGGTTCCACAACACTGGATGATCTCCGAAATCGCACTGAAAGAGCCGTGAGTGCAGCGACACCCGACATGCTCAATCCAGTATGGGATGAGTATGAGCACTGTATTTCTATAGTATACAATGGGGTCCAAAATCTGAGAGCACATTAAAAATCTGAGATTCTTTTTATTTAAGCTTGGAAATAAACAAAGGAAAGTTCTTTAATTTTGATCAATTTTAAACAAAGCAAAGTTATGATAATTAAAATGAAGAAATATTCAAGATTCTGCAGTATTTGTAGGTCACTATTCAGATTTAAGTCTCGTTCCTTCCATTGAAGCTCATATTCAGACCATATTCAGATTCTGCTTGAGGGTCATTAAAGCAAAATCTATGTTAAAATGTCAATGTTTCTACTTTTCGTTCAAAATGTTATGCCGATAGAAGAATTTGTAATGAATGTCTTCCTATTAAATTGCAAAAAGCATTTTTGCTAGCGGTCTCAGACTTTTAGATCTCACTGTACATAACTTATTCAGTTTATTTTAGTTTTAATATAGTTTTTAAGTGTTTCAGTAACATATTGAAGTTTAATGTTATAAAACATTCATTAAGAACTCCAAAAGCTACCTACCTTCCATATTTGTATACTGTATTGCCTTTTTGGCTCCTGGCCAGAACCCCAAAGACGAGCACTTTGGCCTCCCAAGACAAAAATTTTGGGCGCCTCTGATCTACACATGCATATTCCCAGAGTAAAGAAAGCTTTCGCATCTGTCTCATCTCACGCCAGTCTTAGCTGAATAATATTTACGTAAGAAAAGTGTAAGAGCTCATCATTTTCTATATTCTATATCACGGAACTCGACATTCAGAAGATCATGAACCTCATGTTTTTCTCATACATCACCAGAACTTCTAACAATCTCTGAAACGCTTAAATGAATCTCCTCTGTTCTCCCAAGAGGAGCTCAGGAGAAAGAATTCAGAAACCAGTGATCCTCCATTAATACAGTATTATGGCCACGTTTACACAGCAGGTAAAAGTGGCCCAAATCTGATTTTCTCACCAAATCTGACTTTTTTGTTTGGCTGTTCACATTATCTTTTAAATGTGATCTGTATGCGACATCAGTCTGAACAGATCAGCTCCTAAACTGACCCACAGGCGCAAAAGAGCTGCTTCACATTGCTTCACGTGGCTCATCCAGAGGTAAAAAATGACTGAATGAAGACAAAAATCTGATTTGGGACACTTTTACCTGCTGTGCGAACACAGCCTAAGAGATGCCTTATTTCTCTTGAGAATTTTTTCGATATAAATACCAATATCTACAAATACCGTCTCAGAAACCACACATGCAAGTCTGTTTGAGATTGAGTCAGCACAGTTTGAGGCAAGTATTTGATGACTGAGGCATACAGTTTGCACAGTGCTAATTGGTGGGTTACTTGTTAGCTATGTTAGCTTTGTAGCTTCATGGTAAAACTAAAGAAGCAAACCTCAGATACCAAAGATGTCTTAGACAATCTACTACGTTCGGGGTACATCATTTCAACACACCAGTTGTCCTTTACGCTGTGTGAAAATTTCATGATGAATGGACCAATAGAAATGCTCTAAAATCACTTGGAATAAAATCTCTTTACATTAACTTACATTAAAAGATAAGAGTGTTTTTGCCCTCTCCTGTAAAGTTACTGTTTTGGAGATGCTAGTTTTTCCTTGGACAGCGACGATAAGCAAAAACTGAAAAAAGCTAACTCAGGTCCTTCTTTGTCGCTTTTTCTTGGCCTTCTTTCTCCAACACGGACTAATCTTGAGCGACAGCAGAGTTCACGCCAGAAAAAGTGACATCAGTCACCCAAGTTCACACACACAGGCGCCTCGTGAGCCGAGACAGAGCTGCTGTCTCCGAGGCAACCGTCGCCGAGGCGTTCAGTATAAAAAGGCGACTTGGACGGTGACTTCTGTGAACTTCTGAGAGAGATTAAAGAGCACGTCCTTCTCAGAGACCACATTCTCACAGTCTTTGAGTTGTGTGATGTCCCGACACAGGTTACCACATCTACTAAATCCCAGCATGAGGTCAGAGTCAGTGGCTGTTTTCGTTGTTGTTTTGTTTATGACCAAGTTGGCAGACTCTAAGGCCCTGGGGCCACAAAAGAGGCTTTTGCTAGGTGGCAAAGGGGCTTTTGGATAGAGTATGTAATCTGGCTAATTAGCGCATAAACAAAGATCTCGCCATTTCAGAACTGGAAGGGTTGGAAAGGGTGTTCGAGTCTCTGGAACTCCATCATTCCGCTTGAGCCACCACTCAGTGGAAAAGTTCAGTTCACACCGCTGCAACCCGTCTCTGTGACACAGGACTTTGGTTTGAATGATGGGCTGACAGTGTCGGGTTGATGTTGGGTTGATATTGTCTTTTTGTGAAATGCTTCTAAAGGACATTGCAGGATTTAACACTGACATACATAGGCTTCCTTTACCTCCCATACCTCTCATAGGCTTCCATTACCTCTCAAATCTCCCATAGGTTTCCATTACCTCCCATAGGCTTCCAATACCTCCCAAATCTCCCATAGGCTTCCAATACCTTCCACACCTCCCATAGGCTTCCAATACCTCCCAAATCTCCCATAGGCTTCCAATACCTTCCACACCTCCCATAGGCTTCCACTACCTCCCATAGGCTTCCATTACCTCCATGACCTCCCATACCTCCCACAGGCTTCCATTACCTTCCATAGGCTTCCATTACCTCCCATACCTCCCACAGGCATCCATGACCTCTCATATCTCCCATAGGCATCCATTACCTCCATGACCTCCCATAGGCTTCCATTACCTTCCATACCTCCCATAGGCTTCCATGACCTCCCATACCTCCCACAGGCTTCCATTACCTCACATACCTCCCACAGGCTTCCATTACCTTCCATACCTCTCATACCTCCCATAGGCTTCCATTACCTTCCATACCTCCCATACCTCTCATAGGCCTCCTTGACCTCCCATACCTCCCACAGGCTTCCATTACCTCCCATACCTCCCACAGGCTTTCACAGGACATTGCATCAAATTCTGTGTTCAAAGTTTTGTACAAGAAAGAGAATAAACGCAAAGACATCACGATTTATGTATGTTAGTGTTAAATCCTGTTATTCACTTATTGCCATGTAGCCAACAGGTGTACGGCTGTATATACCAGTATATTTGACATATCGCAATAACGATAATATACCATCATATTCCCCACCCCAAGCTTATGAGACTATTGTGCTGCTTAAATGTCATGGGTTGTGAGGCCTTTCTATATGTCATTGCTTTCTGAGACAGAGGAACACAGGAACCCAAAGCTAGTATGGCCACAAAACTAGCTATAAGTAATACTTTTATGCTAAAATATATATGTAAATATGTTAAAATGTTCATTCACAGTTCTTGAAACATCCCAAAGACGTGACATTGTTGAAGGCATATGCTATTTAAGCAACAGAACACGAGAGGGAGTGTGTTATCGCGAAACAACATCACGTGATGTTCTTCGCGATAAAAAGCAACCTCGAGTGTTCTATTGCTTTTATACAACAGTTAAATAAATAAAGTAATAAATTAATAAACTGGGCCGTGAACGCGGCGTTTACTATGTTTTAATGTTCGCAGTTCCTTCACCAAATTATAGTTCCTTAACAAGCAGCTTGTTGCTGCGTCAGAGTAACGAACTCCGCCCACTCGCTGCACAGCCGGCAGTTCGTTCTCCAGCTCCTTACACTAAATTCCCTAACTGTCATCACCACTGAGCAGCTTTTCAGTCGGCAGCTGTGACAGAAGAACAGCTAAACAACCTGGAATCAGCCAGAAATGAACCCAATACCATTCACTAACCGTGTAGTCTGATCAGTATTAATGTTGTTTTGTTCCAGCCAGTCTGTAAAGCATCTTACAGCCCATTTAGTTTGGCGAATGGTGTTGGGTTCATTTCTGGCTGATTCCAGGTTGTTCAGCTGTTCTTCTGTCACAGCTGCCGACTGAAAAGCTGCTCAGTGGTGATGACAGTTTGGGAATTTAGTGTCGTCTCATCTTCAGAGTCTGACCAAATTGGCTGTCAGTCAAATATGATCTTAAAAGTGTCCATTTTCTTTTTGTGGCAAAGTAAGAAGTAAAAACGTTCAAATGGCTTGAGCGTCTCCTACAGCTGTCAAAGTCGTTGCTTAGTGTTTACAGTGTTTGTGAAAAAACCGTGATGTTATGGAGAAATATCAGCACGGTTAGAACACTTCTCAACCAATCAGCTTGCGCGGCTAAAACTAACTGTTGTATAATTTTTATTATTTGTTTATATGCCTGCAATTGTACAGCACTATTCTGAACCTGAACCATGATGTTGCAGGTCTGTGACGCGTAGCAGCCCGTGGGTGACCGTCTGGATTTGGTGGAAAAGTGTTAAACTAGTCCTTTAAGACGTCTGGGTGCTGAGTGAAGGTCCTTACCCAGGGAGTCTGACTCCAGGAGCCGCTGGAGGTCGCTAATGCTGCGGATCTCGCTGCTGGAGAGTCTCTCGATCAGCTCTCGGGGAATCGACTCAGCCTTGAGGAGCAACATGTTCAGCATGAATGCAGGTTAAAGAATGACTGAACTTACACATCGCTTTTATCACAAGGCAAAGTAAATAAAGCTCTCAAAACGAAGGGCGAGTTCTGAGGAAGGTCCTCAGTTCAGTGCTACTGAAATACTGCTGATGTACATAAAATACATTTTGAGCTGGATTTGTGAGACAAATCTGACACAAAAGTCACTCAGATGTGAATCTGTCACGTGTTTTTAAAGGAGAACTCTGCCGATTTTGGAAACTTTCTATTTAATTAAATGGTTAACATGTCAACAGAGTCGTTCAGAGCAGTTTGGTGTGAAACGCTCTGTTCTAGAGAAACTTACAGTCAGAGCTGTTCACAGTGGTGGTGATAGGAACCAGACGTCCACCTCTAAAAGCTCCCTCACAGAAAGTTACTACATGAAATGGTTATGAATTCACTGCCTGATGACTGAGGCATTATTTTGTGATAAAACGTATTTTAAATCTATTTATTTCGATCCATTCATGGCAGAGAGATACATGCAGTGTGTTGTGAAGCAAAATAGCAAAGAAAATTACATTTTTTTAGATTTATGACTTCAAGATTTGACCACCATAGATTTTTTCTAGATTTTTAGATTTGACCATCATCAACATTGCGTATAAAATCTCAGAAGGCACGTGTGGGTTCACTGGTGGGTTTGGATGGTAAATAAAATGGCTATATTCGTGTCATAGACACTGTGAACCCTGGTTCCTATCACCACCACTGTACAGACATCTGAGTCGGTAAGTTTCTCTTCAGTGAACCATTTCACACCAAACCACTCTGAATGGCTCTGTTTGCATCTCAAGGACTGAATTATTCAGACATTTTGAAAAACTGGTGGAATTCCCTTTGAACAGAGGTGAGCAGAGCAGCTTAAACTCATCCTCAGGTAGAAGCTCAACTCATTTAATAGTCTAAAGCTTCATGCAGTCGCCAAATTTCAACTACAGTAAAAAAGTAATGGATGAAAAAACTAGAAAAGTCGTTAAGTTCCCTACAGAACTGCAGTGGAACTTCAAGTTAAGTTTGTTAGGCGCTTTTCTTCTCTTTTTGGGGTTGTTTTGCTTTGGAAGAAAAGGCTAAATCTCAAAGCAAACAGCAGCCCAGCTGAGCCAACAGAACAGAAACAGAAAGAAGCCCAAATTTTAGCAAATTCAGGTCATTAACTACTGAAACTGAGGTAAAGTTTACTTATTTTCTACAAAAGAATATTTCTGAGGACAAATTCTGTCTAAAACTAGTAAGAAAAGTTTAAATCCATCAAATTTTTACCTCAGCAAAGAAAAATTAACCTATTAGGCCAACGTTACTAGCCTGGCTTGTTTAGCACCAGCATCGCGTTTTCCTCCTGAGCGTTCATGTATTTAGCACTTTGTGGGGACTCTAGGCGGCATAAAAGCAACGGTGTGGGGACTTTAAGCAGGTCCTCACGAACAAAAAAGGGGCAAATTTTATAAGTAATAGTCAAAAGCGTTTGGTTCCTGAGGTTAAAGAGAGCACTGAGTTAACCAGGTGCAGCACAGCAGCGTGTAGCTGCAAAAGGACCTGAAAAGCGGCCCGCAAAGACAGCAATACAGGCGTGCGTGTGTTTACCTCAGCAGCAGCAGCGCTGGTGTGTAAGACAGAGAGGCAGCAGGCAAGTAGGCAGCAAAGCGCTCCTCTCATCGCCTCTCTCCGCTACCGGACCGCCAAACCGAAAGCGATGCGCCCGTCAGAACCGGAGAGCATCCCCGGAGCAGGTGTGGGAGTGTGTGGGGGGGCGTTCCAGTGGTCGGGGTTCGGCTCGGTCCGGCTGTTTTAGTCCTCAGCGTCCAGGCTCAACACGCAAAGTCCAAACGGCCAAAACGGGCTCGAGACTCTCATTTCAGACAAAACAGTGGCTGCAACGGCAGCAGTGCATCTTCTTGTGACACGTGCGCACGAAATAAAGATATCAATCCTTCAGTCAATGAAAAAACGGTGTAGGATTCCGCAGAAGTGACTCTGAACAGTTCGCAGATGTTTCTGTCCTCTGTGAGGCTCCGACTCCGCGCGGAGCGCCGCTGCTCTCTGAATGAACTCTGAACGCCTCGCGTCTCTGAAGAAAACTCCGGCGAGGCGCGCGCTCCCGGTGTGCGCGCGTGCGCGTGTGTGCGCGCGCGCCTCCCAGCACTCGCTCAGCTCGGTTTGTGTTTTCTCCATGCGCGAGCCCCTAAGGTGACATGGCGAGTATTTTTAAGCCACACATTGCTATATTAAGGCCACAAATTAATATATTGAGGCCACGAGTTAAGTGTCTGGTGCCCATGAATTAACATATTGAGACCACGTGGCCACGAGCAACGTAACTGGCATTAATATATCAATTCACGACCTCAGTGTATTAATTTGTGGCCACACCTTATTAAAAAATAATCACCACATAGGTGATTTTTTAACTGTTTTTCCGTGATAAGTTATCTTTATTTGTTTTCTCAAGATCTCATGACATTTATGCCATTATCATGGGAAAACGATGTTTGTTTCTCAAGATCTCCAGTTATTTATATCAATATCACAACATAAGACAGTGTTTCACTGAGAGAACATTCATTATGTCATGATAATGGCATAAATATCTCGAAATCTCTAGAAAACAACGTTCATGGCCTCAATATATTTATTTGTGGTCACACTTTATTACAATATAATCACCATTTAGGGGCTTTGCTTTTCTTTAACTGTTTTTCCGCGATAACAAGGTATCTTTGTTTGTTTTCTCAAGATCTCGTGATATTTATGCCATTATCATGGGAAAAACCAGTGCTGGTTTCTCAGGATCTCCAGTTATTTATACCATTATCACAACATAACAGACAGTGTTTCACTGAGAGAACATCTATTAGGTCATGATAATGGCATAAATATCTTGAGATCTCTAGAAAACAACATTTGTTGTGCTGTGAGAATGATAGAAATAATTTCTCGAGTAAATACACCGATCAGACATAACATTATGACCACCTCCTTGTTTCTACGCTCATTGTCCAGTTTATCAGCTCCACTTACTGTATAGGTGCACTTTGTAGTTCTACAGTTACAGACTGTAGTCCATCTGTTTCTCTGCATACTTTGTTAGCCCCCTTTTACCCTGTTCTTCAGTGGTCAGGACCCCCATGGACCACCACAGAGCAGGTACTATTTGGGTGGTGGATCATTCTCAGCACTGCAGTAACACTGACACAGTGGTGGTGTGTTAGTGTGTGTTGTGCTGGTATGAGCAGATCAGACACAGCAGTGCTGCTGGAGTTTTTAAACACCTCAGTGTTGCTGCTGGACTGAGAATAGTCCACCAACCATAAATATCCAGCCAACAGCATCCAACACCACCACCATGTCAGTGTTAATGCAGTGCTGAGAATGATCCACCACCCAAATAGTATCTGCTCTGTGAGGGTCCATGGGGGTCCTGACCACTGAAGAACAGGGTAAAAGGGGGCTAACAAAGTATGCAGAGAAACAGAGAATACAGTCTGTAACTGTAGAACTACAAAGTGCACCTATATAGTAAGCGGAGCTGATAAAATGGACAATGAGTGTAGAAACAAGGAGTTGGTCATAATGTTATGCCTGATCAGTGTATATGAAAATGACTTGTTATGACAGAAAAACATGCAAATCCATGGCCCTAAAAGGCTTTTATATTATTATTATTATTATTATTATTATTATTATTATTTACAGCTTTACTTTGGGGTTTTAGATTCTGTCTTTTTTTATTATTATTCTATCTACTTAAATCTCCTTAAACTCTCAAGAAGTGACATAAAGCTCCTTGAGTTGGTGAAATGGTGGCGCTTTTAATCAGCTTAAATCTCTTCAGCCTTTAAAGGCGTGATAGGGACTTCTTTCCAAATCATTAATTTATTTTATTTATTTTATTAACTTAAATCTCCTCAGCCTTTAAAGACCTTATATGGAAATTTTTAAGCCCTTTATTTATTTATTTATTTTTATTTTGTTTTGTTTTATCCACTTAAATCTCCACAGTCTCTGAAGACCTGATATGGAATTTTTTTCAAATCTTTTATTTATTTATTTTATCAACTCTGAGATCTCCTCAGACTTTGAAGAAGTGATATGGAAGTGAGGGTAATGCTGATTAGCTGTTTCTGACTCATACTCTTTGTTACGAAAGCCTGTCCCAATGCCTGCAGCTAGCGTGATGTTATGGTCTGTGTTTGACTTCGGGGCACTGATATGAGCGCACCGTCGAGAATGTTCGATTTCCACCCACGTGTGCGAAATTTCTTCCCCATGAGAACTGAGCTTACGGGCACTGGCAGGATCCCTGAGGTTAGCATGGAGAGTTAATAGGTAACACTTTTAGCCGAGATTCGAGCTGGTGTTTACATTAGAGACGCCCCCAGCAGACTAATGTCTAACGGGAAATAAGGGGGAGCAGGGTCCAGGGTCAGCTTCTTTCACCATTCATCCTTCCTCCCTCTCCCTCTCCCTCTCTCTCTGTCTGTCTTAGATGGGCGAATCCTTAATTAGTCCCCTTCTGTCCAGACAGGAAGGCCCACCGCCATGCAGTCACTGGAGAGAGGTGATGTGAGAAAAGGAAAGAGTGCTCAAACAAGAGAAAGGGAGCAAGGCGGGTGAGGAAAGGCCGTGAGAGGTGAGCCGAGTGTCCCAGGGCTGAAATAACAGCAGATAAAGTAGGTCAGGTGTACACACACCCACACATTACTCCAGACACTGGGTTTAGTGAGCTGTGAGACGGCTCTTGACTGTCGTCTCTGGATGCCCCCATGCTCCTTAGGTACACTCGCCAAACTCAAAACAATTCTCAAACATGTTCTGGCTAAACCCAGTGCTGAACAACACTAACCAGATCTACATTAACCATGTCTACAAAGTTCTAATTAGCCCTGAATACAACTAACCAAATGCTAAAAATACTAACCAGGTCTAAAAAGGTCTAACTAGCTCTTAATAACTAACCTATTGCTAAACAACACTAACCAGATCTACACTAACCAGGTCCAAAGAGTTCTAACTAGCCCTGAATCACTAACACAGTGCTAAACAGAACTAATCATGTCTAAAAAGTTCTAATTTGCCCTGAATATAACTAAACAAATCCAAAAATACTAACCAGGTCTAAAAAGTTCTAACTAGCCTTTAATATAACTAAGAAAATGCTAAAAATACTAACCAGGTCTAAAAAGTTCTAACTAGCCTTTAATATAACTAACAAAATGCTAAAAATACTAACCAGGTCTAAAAAGTTCTAACTAGCCCTTAATATACCTAACCAAATGCTAAAAATACTAACCAAGTCTAAAAAGTTCTAACTAGCTCTTAATAACTAACCCATTGCTAAACAACACTAACCAGATCTACACTAACCAGGTCAAAAGAGTTCTAACTAACCCTGCATCACTAACACAGTGCTAAACAGAACTAAATGGGTCTAAAAAGTTCTAACTAGCCCTGAATCACTAACCCAGTGCTAAACACCACTGACCAGATCTACACTAACCAGGTGTAAAAAGTTCTAACTAGCCCTGAGTAACTAAACTAGTGCTAAACAACACTATCCAGGTCTAAAAAGTCCTAACTAGCCCTGAATCACTAACACAGTGCTAAACAGCATTAACCAGGTCTTAAAGGTTCTAACTAGCCCTGAATAACTACCCAGTGCTAAACAATACTAACTAGGTATAAAAAGTTCTAACTAGCCCTGATAACTAAACTAGTGCTAAACAACACTAAGCAGGTGTAAAAAGTTCTAACTAGCCCTGAATAACTACCCAGTGCTAAACAGCACTAAGCAGGTGTAAAAAGTTCTAACTAGCCCTGAATCACAAACACAGGGCTAAACAACACTAACCAGATCTAAAAAGTTTAACTAGCCCTGTATAACTAACCCAGTCTAAACAACTCTATTGTTTCTTAAACAGCTTTGGCCAGTGTAAACTGAGAAGCCAACATCATATCTACCAGCCATAAATAATTAACTCAGGTAAGCAGTACTACCTAGGGTTAACATGTTGTAACTAAACCTAATATACTAATACATAAATATTATATATGACCCACTTCTAAACAACATTAACAAGTTCTAACGTTCTAGCATGCTCAAGATAAGTAACAGCCTCATATATTCTTACTAACCCTGGCCTTAAAAAAACTAACCCATTCTAATCAATCCTTTTATTTCTTAATCAGCCTTGATCAGTTGTAAACTCACTTAGTTAAGAAGCTAACACCAGGCAAAACATGTACTAATTAACCCTGAATAACTAACGCAAGTCTAAACAACATTAGGCAGTTCTAACAGGTTCCAACAACCTCAACATGCATAACACAGGTCCAAATGGTCCTACATATTCTAACTAACTTTAACTATATAGACCACTAACCCTAAGTAGCTAACCCTGATTTGAACTAAATTAACTATAATCTAAACAACACTAACTAGGTTTAACAGGTTCTAAGTAACCCTAAATAACTGACCCAGGTCTAAATACCACTAACCCTGAAAAGCTAACTCGGCTCTAAAAAATTCTAACCAAGTCTAAAAAATTCTAGCTAACCCTAAATAACTAACTCAGGCCTAAACAAGTCTAATTAGGTCTACTCTGAATAGGTTTAATTAGGATCCTTCCTAACTAACCCAGGTTTAAAAACCCTTAACAAGTTTTAACTAACTCTGAATAACTTACTGAGGTCTAAACAACTCTAACCAAGTCTAACACGTTTTAACCAACTCTGAAGGTCTGAACAACATTAATCAGATCTAATAAGCTCAAACTAATCTAGGTCTAAATACCACTAATCCTAAATGACTAACTCAGGGCTAAACAACTCTAAACACTTCTAACAATTCATAACTTCAACTAATCTAGGTCTAAACAACAGTAAACAGTTTTAACCAGTTCTAACACACTTGAAGTAATGAGCTCAGGTCAGAATGATCTCACATATTCTAATGAATCTCAATAACTAACCTTGTTTAGTTGTATATTGATCTAATGGAGAAGCTAACCTGTATTACAACTAACCAGGTGAACCATTATAGCCAATTCTAAATAACTAACTCAGGTTTAAACAACTCGAAACATGTCTGACAAGTTCTAACTTACCCTGAATAACTAACTCAGGTCTAAACAGCACTAACCAGGTCTAACACATTCAAGCTAATCCTAAATCACTAATCCAGGCCAAAAAGCTCCAACAAAGTCTAACAAGTTCTAATTAACCCTAAATAACCTGGTCTAAAAACAATCAAGCCTAAATGACTCAGCTCTAAACAACTTTAACCAAGTCTAACAAGTTCTGGCTAACCCTGAATAACGCACTCGTGTGTAAACAACTCTAATTAGATCTTACTGGCTATAGTTAACCCTAAATAACTAACCCGGATCTAAACAACTATAACCAAGTCTAAGAAGTTCTAGCAAACACTAAGTAATTCAGGTCTAAACAAATCTAATTTGGTCCAACAGGTTCTAGCTAACCCTAAATAACCCAGGTGAAAACAGCTCCAGCGAAGTCTAACAGGTTCTAGCTTACCCTAAATAACTCACTCAGGTCTAAACAATTCTAATAAGGTCTAACAGGTTCTAGGTAACCCTAAATAATTAACCCAGATCTAATTGACTATAACCAAGTCCAAGAAATTCTAGCAAACACTAAGTAATTTACTCAGGTCTAAACAAATCTAATAAGGCTTAACAGGTTCTAGGTAACCCTAAAAACCAACCCAGATCTAAACGACTCTAACCAAGTCTAACAAGTTCTATCAAACACTAAATAACTCACTCAGGTCTAAACAACTCTAACCAAGTCTAACAAGTTCTAGCTAACGCTAATCAAGTAACATGGGTCTAAATGAGTCTGTTTAGTTCTGACAAGGTCTAGCCAACCCTAAATAACTTACTCGGGTCTAAACAACTCTGATTAGGTGTAACTGTTTCTGGTTAACCTTAATTAACTGACTTTGGTCTAAATAACTCTAACCATGTCTAACAAGT